ACATTTACGTTGTGTTCTTCACTGCTTGGAGCTTTGCTATTCTACATGATCCTCCACAGACCAAACCAAGAGAGCTCCAACGTTTCCAGTAACCAGGATGTCCAGCAGCTCAACAAAGTGTTTCAGGTCTGTACATGTGCAACAGTTGTTTTCACATCTGATCTGTTCACAACAATTACCATGCTGCACTTTCAGACCAATGAAATTCACCATGTATCAAACATGGATCTGATATTTGGTTTTAAGATTTAGTTTGATTTAATTATCTGTTCCAGGTTCTCCGGCAGGACATCATCAACTTTGTGGAAGAGGAGCTCAATAAGTTTCAGGAGGATCTGCGTCACCCAGAAATGTTTGAGAGTCCGAGGGGTGTCGAGGATGAAGGATCAACAGAGAGGCATTTCGAGAGATCACAGTGGACTTCCTGAGGAGAATGAATGAGGATGTGCTGCCGACCTGCTGCAGAGGAGTAAGAGGATTTCTGAAAAGATTTTACATGCTGGATTAATGATGTTTAGAGGTATAGGGAGAAGTGTTTCCTGCAGGAAATTCACCAGGAGGATTTCAATCAATTTGTTTTTTTGTTTCTGAAACTGTAGTTAAGGCTGAGGGTGCATGTTGGTAAGGCGTCCGCCTCGACTGTAAAGTGCCGCGGGAAACGCTGGTATGAAACGTGTCACATGCCATTTTCAGATTGGGTTTCCACCAAAGAGCCGTAACTTAGCTCAACTGTCATCCCGTCTTTGTGTGTTCATATTGATTCTGTGACGGCGTGATATTGGTGGCCCAGTCTTTGAACTGTGATTTCACATTCACACCACTGTTAGTACCTGTGAAGACGGTACAGAGGGGGGGTCACTTCCGCAACATTCAGATTGAAGGTGAAGTGTCACAAGGACGTAAACATCGGTCTTGAAATGGCGATCTGAACAGGGTTGATGTTTGCTTTCTTCTGAAGAGTCTAACTGTCATATTCTTTATGAATAACTTATTGGTCTTATTTGTTGTTTCTTCATTCAGGTAGCCCTTCTTCAGTTTGCAAACAGAAACTCAAATCTAACCTGAAGGAGAAGTTCCAGTGTGTGTTTGAGGGGATTGCTAAAGCAGGAAACCCAACCCTTCTGAAGCAGATCTACACAGAGCTCTACATCACAGAGGGAGGGACTGGAGAGGTCAATGATGAACACGAGGTCAGACAGATTGAAACAGCATCCAGGAAACCAGACAGACCAGAAACAACCATCAGACAAGAAGACATCTTTAAAGCCTCACCTGGAAGAGGTGAACCAATCAGAAGAGTGATGACAAAGGGAGTGGCTGGCATCGGGAAAACAGTCTTAACACAGAAGTTCACTCTGGACTGGGCTGAAGACAAAGCCAACCAGGACATACATTTCACATTTCCATTCACTTTCAGAGAGCTGAATGTGCTGAAAGAGAAAAAGTTCAGCTTGGTGGAACTTGTTCATCACTTCTTTCCTGAAACCAAAGAAGCAGGAATCTGCAGGTTTGAAGAGGTTGTGTTCATCTTTGACGGTCTGGATGAGTGTCGACTTCCTCTGGACTTCCACAACACAAAAATCCTGACTGATGTTACCAAGTCCACCTCAGTGGATGTGCTGCTGACAAACGTCATCAGGGGGAACCTGCTTCCCTCTGCTCGCCTCTGGATAACCACACGACCTGCAGTAGCCAATCAGATCCCTTCAGGGTGTGTTGACATGGTGACAGAGGTCAGAGGGTTCACTGACCCACAAAAGGAAGAGTACTTCAGGAAGAGGTCCAGCGATGAGGATCAGGCCAACAGAATCATCTCCCACATCAAGACATCCAGAAGCCTCCACATCATGTGCCACATCCCAGTCTTCTGCTGGATCACTGCTACAGTTCTGGAGGATGTGCTGAAGACCAGAGAGGGAGGAGGGCTGCCCAAGACCCTGACTGAGATGTACATCCACTTCCTGGTGGTTCAGTCCAAACTGAAGAACATCAAGTATGATGGAGGAGCTGAGACAGATCCACCCTGGAGTCCAGAGAGCAGGAAGATGATTGAGTCTCTGGGAAAACTGGCTTTTGAGCAGCTGCAGAAAGGAAACCTGATCTTCTATGACTCAGACCTGACAGAGTGTGGCATCGATATCAGAGCAGCCTCAGTGTACTCAGGAGTGTTCACACAGATCTTTAAAGAGGAGAGAGGACTGTACCAGGACAAGGTGTTCTGCTTCATCCATCTGAGTGTTCAGGAGTTTCTGGCTGCTCTTCATGTCCATCTGACCTTCATCAACTCTGGAGTCAATCTGATGTCAGAAGAGTTTTTGACCTCCCAGGAGTGTGACACAGGAAATGGAGAAACTTCAATGACACACTTCTACCAGAGTGCTGTTGACAAGTCCTTAGAGTCCGAATGGACACCTGGACTTGTTCCTCCGCTTCCTCCTGGGCCTTTCAATGCCAACCAGTCAGACTCTCTTGCGAGGCCTTCTGACATCGACAGGAGGTTCACAGACCAATCAGGAAACAGTCGAGTACATCAAGAGGAAGATCAGTAAGAATCTGTCTGCAGAGAAAAGCATCAATCTGTTCCACTGTCTGAATGAACTGAATGATCGTTCTCTAGTGGAGCAGGTCCAACAGTCCCTGAGATCAGGACGTCTCTCCACAGATAAACTGTCTCCTGCTCAGTGGTCAGCTCTGGTCTTCATCTTACTGTCATCAGAAAAAGATCTGACCGTGTTTGACCTGAAGAAATACTCTGCTTCAGAGGAGGCTCTTCTGAGGCTGCTGCCTGTGATCAAAGTCTCCCAGAAAGTTCTGTAAGTTTATTCATCTATAAATGATCTGCTATTTTCAACAGAAAACAAACTAGTCTACCACTTGTGAAAAAACTCTGCCAGCATTAACGCGTTAATCCTGTTGCGATTATGAATGTTTCATTTCACTTTAACAAACTCTCAGACAGCTCAGCTGACGAGTCCAAAGTAATATCCACCTTATGACATCACACATTGACCTTACGACATCAAACAGCCTGCCCGATTTATCGGCCAGTCGATAATATCAGCATGTCCAGTGACTATAAGTATCGGCTAATTTTATCTCCGATATGCGCCGATATTACTCGATTTCTTCACCATTCAAATAGCATTTCATTTGAGTTTCATTGTATTACACTAGCAGTTCTCTGTCACCAGCAGAGGGCGCTATATGGAATCTAAGCTTCACAGGATTAGGCTAAATCAGAATTTACAGCCATGAACAAACTGAATTTGCAGAGCAGTGGAAACATGGTTGCAGAGTGACAGCGGGTGACATGCCCACATGTAAGGATCACCTGTTTCTTATATTTGGTCATGACACTGAGTGACTCCACCTACTTCTCGCTCAGGAAGCTGCAGGCTTGAGATTTATAACATATATATTTATAACTTGTTTTCATACTGTTTTCTCCCCCAGGCTGAGTAGCTGTAACCTGACAGAGAGAAGCTGTGAAGCTCTGTCCTCAGTCCTCAGCTCCAAGTCCTGCAGTCTGAGAGAGCTGGACCTGAACAACAACGACCTGCAGGATTCAGGAGTGCAGCTGTTGTCTACAACACTACAGAGTCCACACTGCAGACTGGAAACTCTCAGGTCGACATTTATGGTCCCATTTCATTGATGGCACTTGCAGTAGTTATAGAGTCAGGATAATCTTTTCTATGGAGAGGAAATCTGATGACCTCCCACATGTGATGTTTTTGTGTCTGCAGACTGTCAGGCTGTCTGATCACAGAGAAAGGCTGCAGATCTCTGGCCTCAGCTCTGACCTCAAACCCCTCCCATCTGAAGGAGCTGGACCTGAGCTACAATCATCCTGGAATCACAGGATTAACGCTGTTGACCGGTCTACAGGATTCACAATCAAAGCTGGACACTCTCAGGTATGATGAGATCTTTGTCTGTCTGGGTCACACACGAGGGTAAAACACTGAACTATGAGCGTTTAGTTTTAGAAGTTATGAGTAAAAATATAAACAAACATTATTATGATTATTAGAAAGGTACAGTTCATGCATGAGCACAAACACAGGCCGAAACATGGACAGCCTTCATTAATGAGAAATCGAGTGTTCTGGCTGTATCTAACAATAAGACTCTATGGGCCTGATTTACTAAAGGTTTGCGTGTCTTAAAACTTGTGCAAACTTGATACCACTAGCAAACAAATGTGCTGTCTGATCTGCTAACAGCGTGCAGTGGGGATTGTGTCTTTATGAGCAAAACAACACACATTGTCCATTTAGTACGTTTGCCTTAATGAATATGCAATATGTGACGGTGTCTGAATTTAACACCTTTGAAAAGAAAGTGCTAATCGACCAGTGTTACACACAACAGGCTGCTGTTAGGAGGAGACATAGGCACAATCAAAGAAGGCATACAGATCGTGTTATTCCCCACACATGTTAAGAAGTTTGGAATGACAGCAGGAAACACCATGATTAAACTATTGTTGCCTCCTCGACTGCTCGACTCCTCGTCTTTACAAAGTTACAGATGATGCACACATTCTGGAGTCAGTGTCTAATGAGAGGAGGGAGAAGTGGGCTGGTTGAATATATTTAATATGAGTGACGTAATGTCCATGTTCTGTGGTCACAGAGGATGTGTTAATCTGCCCCCCCCCCTCTCTTTCAGTTGGAGCCTACTGGAATCCAGTGGTTGACACCAGGTTTGATGAAGTGTGAGTGTTTTTTTAAATATTTGTCACATATTCACAGCGTATTTCAAATGAGTCACGACAGCTGTTTGAATATTAAATGATTGTTAATAAACTTCCTGATTACATCACACTTATACTATAATCATTGACACTGGAGCCATAGCTTGGTATTATCTGCTGTGTTGTTGTTGCTCTGTCTCAACCCATCTCTCGTCTATCTTTCTCGGTTCATCCGGTCACGTCAGCTGCTTGTTCACCAATGAGCTCAGTTCGGCTCGACGTTTCTGCCGGTTGAGAAGAACGTGTTTCGCTGCAGAGCGCTCGCTCTTGGTGGATTGATGTTTGTACGGTCTAAACCCGGGGCCCGTTTCAGAAAGGAGGTTCTACAAACTCTGAGGCCCCGTTTACACGACAACAATCATAATAACACGGTAACCTTTCATTGCCTTTTGGCTGTGTGGTTACACGACAACGCCATTTTGGGTGTGCAAACGTGTTTTTTTAAACAGCAGCTTCTCCGTCGATGTGTAGACTGGAAAAACGCTGTTTCTCTAAAAACGTAGACTTAACCCACATCCAGTCGATAGTCATGACCGAGTAGGTGGACTACAACAACAATGGCCGACGAGTTCTGTTTGTGAGAATGTCGACTGTCACGTCTCCCAGTCAACATTTTATTGAAGGAAGAATTTTCAACTTTTTGATCCAGTAGATGTCGCCCTTGAGCTCCAGCATGAAACCAAAACAAACTGCTGTTAGGCCACGCCTCCTCCATACTGAAGCCTCTGCTCCTCCAGAGACACACCTCCAACCCCCCTCCACTCACATTCACACGGAGGAGTTATCAATCAGAACTCACCTCAAATAATACGAGACAACTGAAATCCACCTCCGTCTGTGGGAGCTTTTCTGTTGAAAGTTGTGAACGCTCCGCCCTGATTTGTGAGCACAGAAAGCGTGAGCTGTGGTCGTAACGATTCAGTCATACAGTATACGCCGGCCTTTACGCCTCTTTCTCGGGTTTGAGTGACCTCCCTTTCTGGAGCAGGAAACGCAGAGCTTCCTTCACGTCAGGGGGAACAGACTCTGGGTCTACACTAATCCTGCTTTCTAACACCGACTGTCGCTCTTTTGAAATGTGTCTTGAAATTGCTTCTGTTATGGTTTGTGGCTACGTTAATGAAAATCCATTGATTGAGTCCGTCAGTAATCATCGATGATCATTTCATAACGCCATCTTTATCGTGTCTCGTTCTCTTCTTCAGATTCCTGTGAACTCACAATCGACACCAACACGGTAAACCACAGAATCCAACTGTCTGACAACAACAGGAAGGGGATATATGTGAAGGACTCTGTGTTATATCCTGATCATCCAGACAGATTTAACTGTCCTCAGCTGCTGTGTAGAGAAGGTCTGACTGGGCGCTGTTACTGGGAGATTGAGTGGACAGGAGGAGTGGATATATCAGTGAGTTACAGAGGAATCAGCAGGAAAGGACACAATCAGTCCTGGTGTCTGAGATGCTTTGATGATGATGGTGGAGTTGAATACTCTGTCCTTCACAATAACAAGGAGACACTTATTACCCGCCCCTCTATCTCCTCACCCTCCACCACGCACAGAGCAGCGGTGTATTTGGACCACACTGCTGGCTCTCTGTCCTTCTACAGAGTCTCCTCTGACACACTGATCCACTTCCACACCTTCAACACCACCTTCACTGAACCTCTCTATCCTGGGTTTGGGTTTGGGTTCTGGTCCGGAAGTGAAAGTTCTGCGTCTCTGTGTCGTCTGTAGAGGAGAGTCTCCTTCTGTTCACTGCTGATCAGTATCACCCCATTCTAGGCTCTCCATAACCTCCGTCACCTCTGTACCTCTCTGATCTCCTTCATACCGACACACTGACCCTACTCTCCGGTCTTCCTCCTCCACGCCGCTCTCTGTTCCTCCTGCCCGCTTAACCTCCATCATGGACCCGCCGTCTCTGGAACTTTCTACCACCAACCCCCATGACACAGACTTTATCTCCACTTCAGAATCCCCCCCCCTTCACTCTCACCTCTTCAACACGCTATTTTCTCCTCCTCCTCTCTGACATCATTTATTTGTTGTTTTGTTTTCTTGTTGTTCTTTGTTGAGCGTCTTTGAGGATTCAGAAAAGTGCTATTTAAGTGTAATGCACTATTATTCTTATTCTTATAATGAACTGGAAACACGTGACAGACACCAATGAAAACATGGAAGATGTCGTGTGTTGCTTTAGTTTTTTTTGTAGAAATGACCAAAACACGATAAACTTTGTGATTGTTTTTTAATGAAGCAGAACACTTGTTCATTACCAAAAAAAAGCCGTTACAATAACATTAAATGTTGTGCAACGCTGACACAGAAAAGGGAATGTGTGAGTTTGTCCTACAGAACCAACTAACGACCTCCGAACCCGACCGCAGCTCATCCAGGCCGTGACGTACTCCAGCTGTAGAATACTGTTTGTGTGTTTGTGGGGCCAACAAACTGAGGCCTCGTTTACACGACAACCACTTCATCTTAACACGGTAAACTTTCACGGTTTGGCTGTTTGTTTACACCACAACGGCGTTTTCAGTGTGCAAACTTTAAACATACAGCAGCGTCTCCGTCGACGTGTCGACTGGAAAACGCTGCTTCTCTAAAAACGTAGACTCTACGGCGTGTGCATTTCAGTTCCGGTCGATGGTCGTGAGCGAGGAGGTGGACTACAACAACAATGGCCGACTTCTGAGTTCTGTTTCTGAAAACATCGACTGTCACGATTCGGTCGACATTTTGTCAAAATGTTTTGTTTGTTTACACCTCACCGCTCTGCAGAAGGAACAGCCTGTGCACAAAACATGAATATATTACATTAAACGACAGCGTCTCCCGCTAAGTAACTTTAGCACTCAGTTACTTTCAGACAAACGCCGCTTGGGGGTCAAACAGTTAACGCTCTTTGATATCGAGGCCAAAACACCGAGGTTTAATATGAAATTACATGAACGCCTCTTTTTTTTCTGACCACACGCCGACTGAGATCGTGATCAGCTCGATGAATTATCTTGTGTTCTGAGAGAAGGCGGTAAACGTTCCCGCTGAGAGCGAAACTAAATCTCAATCTCAAAGACAAAGTGCCACCATCGATGTCTTCCTAAAGAATAAGAACAAAGAACATAGAAACATTTTAACTCAAATTGTCAGTAGCTGGGATGAAAGTGGGCAAAGACAAAAATGAAACTGTTCTGTAAAAGTTCACTTGTGGGACTGGCATCTGCATAAACAATCTGAAAACCAAATAGAATGCAGTCTCATCTGTTCACCTATGAAAATAAATCGATCATTGAAAAACTAAAGCCAGGGTTTCCTGCAGCACTTTATAGTTTGGGCGGCTGCCTAGACAACACACGCCTCCCACCTTATCTACCGTGTTTTTATATATAAATAAATAAAGAAGAAATGCAATTTATAACTCCATAGTTAAAAAGTTCTTACCGTCATCATGGCCGCCATGTCTTTGAGCTTTTTGCCCTGCTGCCCCGAACGCTTCTCAAACACCCTTAGCAGGCTTGCAGAGTGTAGGTCAAGCTGTGATAGAAACCTTGACTGAAGAGGCATAGTTGTGACACGCTTAAACTCTGCGTTTCTCTGAAACATAAAACCATTTTTTAACACATAGACACAAAATGCGTTACTCCCAAACTACACCGTCCGACCATCACTGCGTGCACTTGTTTAGTCATTTAATTTCTGAAAAAAAACGGGGAAATTTTGAACTACATCCTAATGGAGCCAAGCATTAGTCTAACAGTTGAACATACTATCTATAGCACAAGTCACAACATTATTAAAGACTTTTCTTCTGGCCTCCATTACATTGAAGAGACCAAGCCATGGGAGCATCAGGAATGACTTTGTGATGCAAATGTTTTCTCCATTTCAAGCCGAACTGTCTCTCTATTATTAAGCTTCTTGATATCTGAAAGGAGTTCAACCCTCATCTTCTCCAGGGACTGTTGACTTTCTCCGGGTGGAAGAGAGGGGCAGTAAGCCGGACATCCCACTTTTCGGAGATGTGTGTGGTAGTTGGACAACTTGTATTTGAGGCTGGACTTCCAACCCTCATAGCCAATGTCTGAGCCTTTTTCTTGTAAACATAGATGCCTCATGATGAGTGCCTCTGCAACTTGATCAAACTCCCTGTCTGTGAGATAGACTTTGTGGTGAACTACCTCCTGAATCAACCCCTCCAGTATATCAGACTTCAGCTCTGGATCAGGGATCAGCAGCGTCCCATTTTCTTTGAAAGCTTCATGAGCTTTCTCAAGCTTGAACTGTGCATCATAAGAAAAACAGGGAACATGAAATGTATCTGGCCAGGAAGACCGTGAAGAAGTGGACTCTGGAGATGTTAGAATAACCGTGCTGTCACCAGAAAAAGATGTGGTGTCATCAGGAGTACTGTTTGGTGGAAAGGAGAAACAGCCCACACCTTGATCTGCATCAGCATCTTGAGGTTGGCATGATGTGAAGATGACCTTGACTGTAGCTTTGTCTTGGATTTCTTCCATAGAAGTTAAGTTCATAAACTCACAGCCAAAAAGGGTGTCCATGAACTGTAGCCGAAAGGATTCCATTATTTTACACTGACTCTTAATCTCAGTCTCCAGCTCAGTCACAGTCAAAGGCAGGCCAACAGGAAACGCCACCCTCTGATTGCTGTCTGGCCCCAGGATCACTCTGAGAATAGCTGAAGTTGTCATGGTCTCACTTTACTGTCTGTTAGGAAAGAGTAAATAAAGAAAAAGTTTAGAATAAGTTTTGTTTCAAGAGGTTCATGTAATCATTAAAATGTAATTTGACTGTCTCTATGCTTTATTTGTATATTTTGAATGTGATTAACAAATTCTGAAAAACATTTAGTTGGAGAAAAAAAAAACTAGAAAAGGAGATGTAGGCACAATGTACAGTTGCTCCATTCTCCATGTGAATTTTGGATCCCACTGTTATTCAAAGTCACACAAAGCAGTCCCTCCTCTTCACGTGACTGCATGTACGTGCCCGTGCAGTGTTTAATTTGTAACCTTAAAGCTATACTTTGACCTTTAAGATGGGTGTATGCAGACATCGAAAAACAAAAAGAGGGCAGGTGATAAGCATAAAATAAAACAAAACATCTTGCACACTGCTGGGCTCTAATGTACAACTTACTTATTGCATAAAACTTGTCTGATGAAGAACATGTGTGCTCAAAATGTTACTCAGAGCCCAGCAGTGTGCGAGATGTTTTGTTTCATCTTATCATGAGTAACCTTACCTCAAGACACAGATTGCTCTCTTCAATGTCACCATCCGCACACACCCAACCAGATAGGCAGCCAAGGGATACTCATCGACCAGTTCACATGCTTTAATACTTGGGACCTACTTGGTAAAACTGAAGGACAGGCCTTACATCTCCACATTCACAGCAAAGGTTTGTCACACTCGCAGCATCATTCACTGCAAAGGAGAAATTGAGTCAAATAAGTATTCATATCTAATAAGAAAATCACCAAATGTACAAGTCAGAAATGCATGACAAGCTGTCAGAAATTCCAGAATTTACTCCAGTACACCACAACCAACCAATATAACCTCAATAATAGGCATAAAGTAGAATAACATCTGACAATGTTTACAAAAATGGAAAATAAATAAGCTTTATAAAAGTAGAATTTATGGCAGCGCTGTTGTATAGGTAGCTAGTTACGGTGGGCCCTCTTTGTTTACATGCCCGACCATTTGAAGAGTCTAGGCTGTGTATTAACACCAGAGTATGGACAGGAATAAGATCTTGAGGAGATATTCACCAGAATCACTGGCTCCACCTTTAAGTGGATTTTATTTTTAAATACCATTTTTACAGAGCAAATAAAAGTGATGTTCTCACCACTAAAACTTGAGCCCACAGTGAAAGCGCTGACTCTGTGAGATGTTCACTGACTGAGTTTGACGGTCAATCTGCAGGAAAAAGAAAAAGAAAAACACTTCTAACCGAATTTCTCTAAGCACAAACAGTGTGAACTATAGGTGTGGGGAAAATATGCTTTTAGATGGCTGATGACAATCTGAAAATGTAAATGACACCATTTGCTCTCTTCAATTTGCATTTATATAATAGATATACTCTCCACAACAAAACTCTGGAGTTTTATGTTGATGGTGAGCTGCATCAAATACACACAAACTATGCATTAGTATATACAATTTATTTTCTTAGTGGGAAAACACTTCTATTCCTGTTATTTAGAGTAAAGATATATACTCAGCAAACACAGAACTTGAGCCACAGTGGAGGAACTAAGGGTATCCTCAGTCTGAAGGCAATCTGCATCAGCAACAAGAGCCACAACATGAAAATACAAACACTTCATAATACAAAACTGTTACTCATAAAACGGCAGAGCCTTCTGGACAGAACCTGCGGTCACTTCTCATATATTACAGAAGCTATTAAATAAGCTAATAAATAAACTAAACGTTTATGTTATTTATCTAATTAATGTGCATGTTACAGTGTCTTCTGCGGACACACACACACACACACACACACACACACACACACACACACACACACACACACACACACACACACACACACACACACACACACACACACACACACACACACACACACACACACTCACACACACACGCATATTTCCTTAGAGATATGCAAAAGAAAATAAAATTATTGACCGGTATTGGAACAATCATAAATTAAGTCCAACTAATGTCACAGA